CGGCTGGCCTTCCAGGGCTGGCTGGGGTGCGGGGTGCTGCTGGTGCACGCGCCTCCCGCCAGCCTGCAGGTGCTGCGCGACGCCTGGTGCCGCCGGGCGCTGCGTCCGCCCCGCGGCTTCCGCATCAGGGCAGTAGGTGAGTGCGGGGCTGGGAGGACAGGTCGGGTGACTGGAGAGGGCCGTCCAGCCGACATTCCCTTCTGCTGGGACACAGCTGCTTTGGCCCCCAAGGTACGCTTCACCGCTGCCCTGGGCCAACTCTAGGATAGCTCCATTCCTCAACTCTTTCAGCTAGTGGAGCGCACAGGTTCCTGGCAGAAGGAACTTTCTACTTAGAAAAGTGCTTTGGGGAGAAAGGCTTTGTGCCCCGGGAACCAGAGCTGCGGTCAGGAGACAGGGGCCTCTGTCTCTGTACCACAGGAGCGCGCTTAGGAGGGGTGCACCAGGGCTTGGCCAGAATCTATCGATCCTGAACTCGCTGCCCCCAACCCCCTTTTTTAACTGGAGCAGACAAAAGTCTAGTTTTCATGTCCTACTGTACTGAATGGAGTGGTGGTCTTGGATCAGGACCTAGTGGATGGTTTGGAGTCGTTAACTGCTGGGAAAAAGAAATGACAAATGGCACTGTGGACATAACGCATCCCATTAGCTAAAGAGAGAATTCCTCCTTCCCAGTCTTTTCAGAGAGCCCATTTGTTTGAAGACAGACAGCAGCTTTTTGCCTGCGTAAAATAGCTTCATTTGAGAAACTAAACCGCAGCCCACACTGAGTGAGTGGTCTCTGGCACCGGCAACTAAACTCAGGGAGGCTGTCAGCTCCCTGTAACAGCCTGATTCTGTCTGTCTGCATTTATGTGGGGTTATGATGACGATTTGATGGTGTGCTGTTGACCAGTCCCCAGTTGTTCCAGCCCTGCATTTTGACTTCGAGGAACCCCTCTCTGTCTCGGTCCATAAATCCTGCTCCTGCTCCCTCTCCCCTCTCTCCTCCCCCTCTCCTCCTCTTCTTCCTCCTCACAGCAAAAAAAAAAAAAACCCCACAAAAAAACCCCAAACGTTTTAGTCCTCAGGAGAGAAACAGTAGCAAGAGGCACTCGATATTTTGTATCATCTTCTCAGAGATGTCCCTACATCCTAGGCCAGTGTGGTTTTAAACCTTGCCTTTTCACTTCCATGCATTCCCATTCTGTTTGTATCCCCCCCCTCCCCAACTTTTCTTCCTTTAAGAGCAAAAAAGAGCTTATTTGCAAAGCCACATAAACAGGTTTCATCTCCTTTTACCTGCAGGAGTGAGTGAAGAAAATAGGTTTTTGCTTCTGGAAGCCAAAATTCTCACAGGGGGAAAGGGTCTTTCAGACAGGCTGGATGAAAACCTCTTTTCAGTTCTGTGACCTGGGTTTTTCTGGTTTGAATTAGTGGTTGCATTCTCTGGTTCCCCCACCCTCTTTCGAAGAGTGAACGTAGAGTATATTGCAGAAAGTAGGTGGATGGAGTTGGGGGTCTAGACCTGAGGGTGAAATAGAGAGGGCTTGTGCCAAGTCAGAGGCAGCCATGATGCCACTACCTGGGGTCCCGCAAGCAGTGGTGAATGCTGGTTCCTGGGTTGGTCTTGTTTGCTGCCATCTGAAAGATGCAGTGGGTAAAGTGAACACGTCTCCAGGTGCTCTAGTTCTCCACCCTCATTGCACAACTTGGGATGCAATGGACATTACGCAGTGTGTGCAATACTATGCTGGGTCATCACCCCTGACTTGGGTCTCTTGGCAGGAATGATTTTGAGGTTTTTAATAGTTTTTGTTTTGTTTTGTTTTAACGACTACAGCACCTGGTATTCCAAGTGATCTCCCATCCAAGTACTAACCAGGCCTGACCTGAGATCAGACTAGATCGGGCATGTTCAGGGTGGCATGGCCGTAGATTTAATAGACTCTTGATAAGAATTTGTACATTTAGCTGGAATTTGTACAAAACCACTTATTAGGACATTTTGAGGAGCAAATGGGGAAAGATCTTATTCGATGCAATGGATGCACATGAGGGGAGCTGTTTTGAATAGAATGGCTAACTACTAGTTGAACTTGGGGTCCTTGAATCAGGTCAGAGGAGAGGAAGCATGAAGACAGCTCTTGGGCCATCTCAGAGTCCCAGAAGGAGGTGAAAGCAGTAGGAGCTGCTTTCCCTCAAAGGAATTGGCAGTTTAGTCTCCTTGCTTTCCGGAATCTGGCAGCATTGGTTTCCAGAAGCTAAAATGGGCTTCCAGGGAAGCAAGGGAAGAACAGCTGCGCACTATTGCAGGTGCTGCTCCATCTCCATTCTTACTGTTACTTTGTGGAAATGGGCAAAATGCTACAAAAAGATACAAATTATCAATTTGGTCAAACCAATTTGGTCACTTTGTTGTAGTTTTTTTGGTTGTTTTTAAAGGTTCATTTCTACATAAAAGTATTTGGGCAGAGGGATTATTGCCAGCCAGCTCAGAAAAAATGCTGAGAGGGATGGCCATGAGCTTTATAAACCCACTGTGCTCCCATGGGCTCTTGTCCTGGGCTTCTGGACCTGGGGCTCATGGGACCTCCTAAGTTATGATGATGGAGTGCCCTTGCCAAGCCAGCAGAAGTGACCTGAGCCCCAGATGCAGATCTGAATTTAAGGCTGGCAGACAGGAGTGTTTTCTTCATGCTCTGTGCCTTTTCTTTCCCTCTTTACTTTTTCTACCTCAGCTTCCCCTTGTTGAGAAAAATAGTTACTAGAGCATTTCCCTGAAGAGGGACATAGGATCTTTGGCATGATGACCAGGAGCTAACTCTTCTTTTGTGCTTCAGTCCTCAAGTGTTTTCTTTTTAAATTAGCAAATGACATTAACAGATGAAAGGGGTGAGCTCTGGAAGCTAGAGGGAGACATCTGTTTCCCTAGCTGAGCCACTGCAGGTGGTAGAGGAGGGAGAACACCTGTATTTATTTGGGTGAATCAGTTGTTACTCTGGAACCACCCTTGCCGGGGAGGTTAAAAATTAATGATGGCTTCCTGGGGTAAGGGAGGGAAGGCCACTTGGCCAAACAACTTTGTTCCCTTCTCCTGAAATTAATAGCTGAAGTATCCCTACTCTTTCACCCCTAGTATAGCCTACCATCTTTTCTCATTAAATAAGAATGCCTGTGGTTTTTAAAAAATATCTGCTTCATTAATTCATTTATGTGCCAGGTAATGTTCTAGGTGTTTCTGTGTTTTAATGCATCTTTCATTCCTAGTTGCATTATCTCAAGGAGAAAATGGAATCAACTTGTTTCCTCCATATCGAGTTAAGAGGGAATAGCTGGGTGGGAGGCTATGTTCTGGAACCTGGCTGGTTCACAGTCTTCTCCATCCCATGGTGACAGGTGTGAGCTCTGCAGGTTCTGCCTCTGATTTAGTTGGGCAAGAGTTCCCTGGTGTGTGCTTTGTGGGGTGGGTACTAGATTGGGCAAGTCAGGGTGGTGAAGGGGAGATAATGTGAGAATCTTCTCACATCTCATGTCCCACCTGTCTGCTCCCTGAAACATCTGAGTACAGAGAGATATCATGGTAAAATTTCAAATGCCCTAGCAGAGTAGAGGCTAGTCACTACTTTGTGCTACACATAAATGCTTTCAGAATCTAGGGTACCAGTGCCTGGTGGTACAAGAGTTAGGCAAACATCTGAAATGTTCTGACTTATCCTGTGATTTAGGCAATGTCATAGAGGAGTACGTAGAGATGGTGAAGACAGGGAGTGGCCCAAGTCCTCTTCTGCCTTGCTTTTGAGTTCCTGCTTTGAATGATGGTGGGGCATCTTGTAGGTTTTGGTAGCCAATGGATTTTTTTGTTGTTGTCGACAATGGAATTTTTAAGGTGACATTTACATTAAGTGAAATTCAGAAATCATAAGTGTAGCATTTGAAACATTTTTCAAATACATAAATGAGTGTAAGCCAAATCCCTAACAGGATTTTTAGAACATTACCATTACCCCCAGAAAGTTCCCTCTTGCCCCTTCCCAGTGACCTCTTCTCCTACCCTCAGCTCTCTCCCATCCCAACCACTCTAATCTTTTTAACCATAAATTAATTTTGCCTGTTCAAGAACTTAATGTAAATAGAATCATTAGTAAGTACTCTTTTGTGTGAGGATTTTTTAACTCAGCTTAATATTCCTAAGTTCATCTCTCTTATATTCTTTTTATTGCTGGGTAGAATTCCATTTTATGAATATGCTACAGTTTATCTATTTTCCCTTGTTTCCAATTCATGGCTATTGTGAATAAAGCTTCTGTGAATATGTACAAGTTTTTTTTTAAATTCTCTTTCTCTTGGGTCCTTACGTAGGAGAGAAATTGCTGACTCACTGACTTGCTTTTGTTTAATTTTATGGAACCTTTTTCCAAAGTTGTACCATTTTTCACTCCTACCAGCAAAGTAGTCAGTTCTGTTTGCTACACATCTTTGCCAATATTCAGTGTTATCTTACTAATTTTAGCTATTCTGGTGGTATCTAGTGGTATCTTATAGTTTTATTTGTATTCCCCTAATGACTGATGTGTTTATCAATTTGCATTGTGAAGTATGTCCAAATCTTTGACTTTTTAAAAATTGTATTGTCTCTATTATTTTTTTATTGTTGAATTTTTTTTTAATACATTCTAAATATCAGTCCTTTGTTGAAGATATGCTTTGTGACTTCGGTCTAGCCTGTGGCTTGCCTATTTTGTTTTTCAGTGGTATCTTTTGGAGAGAAGTTTTAAATATTGATCAAGTCTAATTTATCGATTTTTCTACTTTATGGTTTGTACTTCTTCTTTTTCTATAAAGAAATTTTGCCTAGCCCAGTATTTTCTCCTGTGTTTTATTCTGGAAGTTTTATGGTTATACATTTAGGTCTATGATCCATTTTGAGTTAATTTTTGTGAATGATATGAGGTATAGGTTAAGGATTTTGTTTTTGTTTTTGTTTTGCATATGGGTGTCCAATTGATCAAGGACAAGTTGTTGAGAAGACTAGCCTTTCTCATTGAATTGCCTTTGCAACTTCGTTGAAAATCAATTGACTATTTGTAAGGATTTATTTCCATTGATGTTGAGTCTATCCTTTTATCAGTTTCATACTATCTTATTGTAAGATTT